AGAATTTTTTCATTAAAAAAGATAAAAACAAATTATGAATCTTATTACACACCTTTCATCACTAGACAAATCACTTCTTTGTGGACTGAAATACCGTGAGAAGTCTGCATTCATATAAAAAATGGACCTTAAGAATTTTTTTTTAATAAATATAAGAAAAAATTATAAACCTTATAACACACCTCCCTGTAGACAAATTACTCTTTTCTGGATTGAAATCCACGAGACGTCTGCATTCAGATAAAAAGTTGACCCTAAGGGTTTTTTTCATTATTAAAAAATGAGAAGAAATTATGAATCTTATAACACACTTCCCCATAGACAAATTAATTACTCCTTTTTGGATTGAAATCCACGAGAGGTCTGTATTCATATAAAAATATGACCTTAAGGATATTTATGAACCTTATAACACACCTCCCCGTAGACAAATTACTCTTTTCTGGATTGAAATCCACGAGACGTCTGCATTCATATAAAAAGTTGACCTTAAGGGTTTTTTTCATTATTAAAAAATGACAAGAAATTATGAATCTTATAACACACCTTCCCATAGACAGTTTACTCCTTTCTAGATTGAAATCCACAAGACGTCTGCATTCATATAAAAAGTTGACCTTAAGAATAATTTTTCATTAATAAAGATAAACAAAAATTATAAACCTTATAACACACCTTGGCGTAGACAAATTACTCTTTTTTGGATTGAAATCTACAAGACGCCTGCATTCATATAAAAAGTTGACCTTAAGAATAATTTTTCATTAATAAAGATAAGCAAAAAATTATGAACCTTATAACACACCTCGACATAGACGACAAATTACTCTTTTTTGGATTGAAATCCATGAGACGTCTGCCTTCATATAAAAAGTTGACCTTAAGGATCTTTTTCATTATTAAAAAATGAGAAGAAATTATGAATCTTATAACACACCTTCCCATAAACAGTTTACTCCTTTCTAGATTGAAATCCACGTTTGCATTCATATAAAAAGTTGACCTTAAGAATAATTTTTCATTAATAAAGATAAACAAAAATTATAAACCTTATAACACACCTTGACATAGACAAATTACTTTTTTTTTGGATTGAAATCTACGAGACGTCTGCATTCATATAAAAAGTTGACCTTAAGAATAATTTTTCATTAATAAAGATAAACAAAAAATTATAAACCTTATAACACATATCGGCATAGACGACAAATTACTCTTTTTTGGATTGAAATTTGAGACGTCCGCATTCATATAAAAAGTCAACTTTAAAGATCTTTTACATTAATAAAAATAAGAAGAAATGATGAACCTTATAACACACCTTAGCGTAAACAAATTACTCTTTTTTGACTAAAATTCACTATATGACTGCATTCATATAAAAAAGTTGACTTTAAAAACTTTTTTTCAAAAATAAAGATAAAAGAAACTATGAACCTGATAACATAGACAAATTACTCTTTTTTTTGAATTAAAATCCATAAGACATCTGGATTCATATAAAAATTTGACTTTAAAGATCTTTTTCATTAATAAAAAAAAATTATAAACCTTATAACACACTTTTCGGTAAATAAATTACTTCTTTATGAATTAAAATCCTCCAAGGTCTATATATTCACATAAAAAGTTAATTTACGAATTTTTTCTTTAATAAAATAAAAGTAAATTATAAACCTTATAACACATCTTCCAACAAATAAATTACTCTTTCTGGACTGAAATCCATGATACGATTGCATTTATACAAAAAAGTTGACAAGAAGTTTTTTTTTTCAGTGGTAAATATAAGAAGAAATGATGAATGACACACATTACAGTATACAAATTACGCCCCTTATATCAATGAGGGGCCTACATTCATATAAAAGACATATAAAGATAAGAATAAATAATGAACCATATGACACAATTAATGAAAATCGCATACAATATGAGAATGTGCACATACAATGAAGGAAGAAAAAAATTCTTTTGTTTATATTTTTCTCCTAATGGCTATTTTTCTGTAAAAAAAAGTCTATATAATATAATTATAAATTACTTATAAATAATATATTGAAAACAAACTGATCACAAAAGTCAATGACAAGAACAACCACCACAGCATAATTCTTTCAAAAGGTGCTTGAGGATCTTGTTATCTATGAACACTTTCTTATTTTGTTTTTCTTCTTCAACAACAGTTATTATTTTCATTTGATTAAGTTGTTGTGAAGATGTGAACATACCTTGGTGGCTCATCATCTGAATCCTCAACTTCTTCTGATGATTCCTCAGAATTTATA